TTAACAGGAAAAATTTTCGCTAAATTAGAGATGTGGCAGCGATTAACATCTATGGTTCAGTCTATGATCAGCGTCACTTTATCCTTGATCACATCTAAATCATCGCTGAATTAGCGCTAAAATTTCAGGTCTCAATCAGACATAAATCATCCATTAATCAGGGATGGACTTTCATTGCAATAACCCTGACGAACTTTGAATCAAGGATATCTCATTCCAGGGAAATCCCTGAAAAGCCATGAAAAAATTAGAAAAAATTTCAGTTATATTTTGAGGAAAATCACAATTATGACAGTAATAAATGGTGAAAATCAAAATATAAATAGTGCATTATATCTAGATATTTCATTATATCAATTTTTTTAGATGTTAGTTCAGTAGTGCAGTTCACAAACTGGTTCACGACGTGGGTACGGCCTCCCAACCGACATTCTTTCTGGCGTGACGTTGTCTTCGGTTCGTACTTTTGTACTTTTCAGGACGAGATCCAATTTCGTTCACACGAAGTCCCGAAATTTTGACGCGCCAATTTCGCATTTGAATTCAATAACTCTTCGAGAGCGAGCACCATTTTTGAAAATGATATGAAATTTATTTTACTTGCGGTGATTGGTACTAGGTTTTTGGACCCTTCAGAATCAGGTTTCTGATTACTTCCTTGAAACCCTTAATACCTGAGTCATCGACTGAAAAAAAACAGGTTGGAAAACCAGTTTAAAACCAGGGTTGGGTACGGGTTAAAATATGAGCAGGGTTATGAGAAGAGATTTCAGATAGAATTTTAAGAGTTTAGATTCATAGCAAATAATTGAACATTATATTTAGTTCATCAAACAATAAATCACAAAAAAAAAATTTTATCAAAAGTTTTATCAAAACTGTATAAAATCACCGAAAAGCTGTAGTTGAGTGCAGATGATTGTTGATTCATAGCAGATTCTGGATTGCCGAATTTCTGCTTAATGATGGTATATAAAGATGATGTGAAAAGATTTAGAACCAAACAATACCTGAAATGCAATCAATACATTAGTAACTGAAAACATTGCCGATTTAAAACGCTCGGTCCTGATTGGCTTCAAAGACATTGCAGGAACGTCGGCGTCAATTCCTCAGTTTAACTCGTATACGGTTTCTTGATTTCATTCCGCTATATAAATGCTTCCTTTTTTATTTATAATAGTCAGAAAATCAGAAACTTAACTCTGCAGCAATTTTATCGTCAAATCTTTTAATGTCAGCTGCAGAGTTTTGTTTGAGGTAGTGAATTTCAAAACAAAGCACAGGAGATACAACTATTGTTAAGTGTTTCCTCATCTTGCAAAAACAACGAATACTTGATTGAGACAATATATTCACAAATTATAAATTTTCGCTGATTGTCAGAATCTCACAATCGAAACATTCATTGCATTCAGATTGTGTGTTGCCTTTTTAATAAAATATTGTTTGGTTTAAAATAACAGTTGTTTTGAGCTTATTTTTAGCTGCATCTTTAGATGCATCAATTTTTTTTTAAAGTTTTTTTTTCATATTTTTACCAAAAATTGCCGCGTTTCCGGTAAATTTAGTTGGTCAAAACTTTTAACAACCAAAGCTAACACATTTCTACATTTTCGCGAAAAAAACTGCGTTTCTAGGTTGTTTTCAGCAGTTGGTTTGAACAATTGTTATACTTTGATGCTAAATTAGGGTTTTATCATTGAAACGACAAGTAACAAACTTTGAAGTCAATTCGAAATTTTAAATTTTTTTCAGCGCTGATTCAGGAATTTATCATGGCTAAATTATCCATGATTATTACTGAGAATGTTAGCCATGAAATAACCCTGAACCATCGCTTAAATTTCATAAAAATGAGATATGCCTGAATAAGCCATGAATTTTTCAACAAAACTGAGATATCTCTGAATCAGCGATAATGTTTCCTGTCAACTCAACACGGGTGTGGACCACTAGAAACAGGATCTCTCTTCAAAAACACTAGTTTTTGATTCCTAGTCTCCATTATATATTGGGGAAGATGGGCTTACTCCTCAATAGTTTGCCAAATGCATCATCCAAAAACACTCGTTATTCCAAATCCAATTGAAACAATATAATCAAGGATTCATTCTGCTGCTTTTCGTTTCTTTAAAACAGACTACTTGACTGTCTTTTTGCGGGGTTGTCTGAGTTTGAGTACAAGTTAATGTGGCGTATCTTTTTGGTTCGATAGAAATACAGACTTAACAGACAAACTTTTTCCTGGGAAACTATTATTTGAACATGATAAGGCAACTTAGCGGCCAACAACCTCAAAAAACTGTATTAGAACAGTTGAAGCATTCTTTTGTAACAAAAATAGGGTAATGAGAAAACTCAAGGATTAGTACCCAATCCTAATACCCAGCATACCCAAAAATAAAATGCTTCAAAATGAGGACTTGAAAAAGATGAATGAAAAATCTCATGCATGTATTCAGCAGTTGATTGATCCGACCATTTAACAGACAGGCGAATTTTGTATTCGGGTGTGTTTAGTTTTTTTTCTTTTTTTTCCACGCAATATTAGGTATCTCAAATTTTTATCGGAATTGGTCGAGTTATATATAATTTTGAAACCCCTTCAATCGTGATTCAAACGACTTTTCAAATTTCGAAAACTTTTCCGCAGTGTCGAGAAAAACCGGTATGAAATTTTTTATTTTTGGTCTACGTTCTAGCTAATAAGCTTACAATAGCATAATTAAGCCTTGAAACTTTAGTTTTACACGAGCAGAGTTAGTTTTTCGAGTTGTTTAGCGCAAATTTGAGAATAAAAATTTTCCAAATTTCGAAAAAGTCTGTAAACAATTAGAAAAAAATGTGAGATAGAAAAAAGATTTTACGACTTTTTTTCGTTTCATAGTTTTTTTTCAACAAAAAACTGTTCTCCAAAAGGTCTTTTTAATATTACTGTCAAATTTGCCTAATTTCTAGTTTTCGCTTAGATCTTTTTATAAAAAAGCATAGAAAAAAAGACTAGAAAAGTTATGTATAAAAATAAAGTTGTATTAAGACTAGGGTTGGAAACTTCTGTGCAATTTGCACATTAATCGGCAACTTTTTTTTTAATTGAAACAAGTTTTTATCAATTACCAAAAAATTTTCCGACGGCCGAGAAATTAAAAGGCGGAAAATGATCTACAAGGGCGCTCCCTTTGTTCTTCTTTTGTTCTTTACTTTCCTTTGATCATACAGACAAAATTTTCACATGTTTAAAGACTTGTCTCTGAAATCCAGGAAGATACAGACACAAAATTGTGCTCCTATCCAGTGCACAGTTTGGCCTCGTAATGAACCGAAAAATTGACAATTTTGTCTTTAGTAAAACCAATATCATGAAAAATCATAGCTTAAAAATTTCATTCAATAGTTTTCTATGCCCGATCTAATATGTAGGTTCTGTACTGAAGTTCACAATTTCTCAAATAAAAAAATTACTAGCTTTTTATTTTGAAAATTCTGTTAATCATTCAGGAAAAAAAAATTGTTTTGGGAGCTTAAGATATCCAGTCTTAGATTTTTTAATGGTCTTATAACAGACATAAACTTTTAATACAATATTTTAGAAACCAGCTAATTCATTTCTCTCAGAAAAATATCAACAACTAACAATTTGTATTTTAAAAAAAAAGAAGTTAAATTTTACGATGGATCAAATAGTTGGTTTTCAAACATGGAATTTTGAATTTTAGCACTATAACATGCTGACATGCCGCTGTGGCCAAAACCAGTATGTAGGTAAACAAAAAAGTTTTTTCCTCGTTCGAACATTGTCGAAACATAGACGTCTGAAGTCAAGACGGTCGAGTCATATCGAGCGTAGGTCGAGACGACGAAACATAAATCACAAACCTCAACTCGGGATAACATAAACCTGCATACTCTGTCATTTGTCTCGCTATGATTAATTCAAGAAATTTTTGTCTATTTTTTGGAAAACTTTTCCTCACTCTCACCCCAATTAGACCGAGTTTTTAGGTAGAACATACCAGGGACCAAGTTAACATCCCCCCTCTCCTCCCCCAAATAGACCAAGCTTAGATCCTCCACCCCTGCGTTCAATTTAAATTAAATTTGCTAAGCGTGTGAAATGCTATATCCTGATTGAATTGACGTTTGAACTGAGAACCAAATAACTTCCTCCCACTAAACGCCTTGTTGAGATGTTAACTTGGTCCTACACCTGTTTAAAATTGATGTTAAGAAAAGAAATTCGGCTCTATAGATTGATAGCTGTGAAAAAAAATGAAGCGAATCTAAAAGTAATACTTTATTTTTTCACATCAATCGACAGTTAAATTTTTTACACCAATCGACAAACAGCGCTTTAAAAATTAATTGCCCTGATAAGATACATTTCTGCTCCACATTTAAATTTGATCATATTTAGTAGTTGGGTACAAGAATATGAATTTGCAAACTAAAAAATTAAGTACATTTTACACTACTGCATGAAACTTTTAAAAAAATACAAGGAAATTACTATATTGAAGATGTCTGGCAAACCAGGCGACAGCTCTTAAGACGACAACAATTTTTGCTGGGAAATTAAAGCGAAACTTCCAATTGTTCGATAGTATTTCTGAGGAACATCTTAAATTCAAATCAAATCATTTTAAATGTTCTACGGCTCATTAGTCGTCCTAATTTCAAGTCGTGTTAGGGTTCTGTCGTCTTATTTAACTAGCACCCATATTGAAATGACATTTAGTAGTTCTGTTTCAACATTTAGACTCTGATAGAAGTACGCTTCGTCCTTGAGGTAGATCTAGGACCAGTTGCAAAAATTCGAAACTAAAAAAACTAATAAAAAACTAATTTGATAGAAAATTTGGGTCCACTAAGCAATTTCGTGCCCCATTAAAGTATCCAAACACTTTTGAGCTGTACGCAATAACTCTTTCAATATTTTGAAACAATTGAAACTTTTTAAACTAATTTTTTTTTTCCTTTTTTTTGTGTTCAATCTTTTTGCAATCCTCGTTGAAGCTGTTCGTATTTAACATCAAACGACAAAGTAGATATAATAGAAGAAAGAAATTTAAGCGCCTGCAAAATTAAGTATTCTGCTTTGCTCGTACATACGCCATATATACAACAACTTTTAAGTGAAGCGTACACAGATATCACAAAGAACTTTCGCAATTGTCTTGTTTTAACTCGATACCATTTTTTTCTGAAATGCTTTCGAGAACGTCTTTTTGAACTTTGACGAAGTGTTCTTCGCCATTTTCGTTGTCCTGGTCTTTTTCCGACAATCGCTGAAAAATCGAATCTTTTGCTGGTTCGGCGAAAGTTGATTCTTCTCCAATGTTGGTTGCGGCTGTCATCGAAACTTTTCCATCACGGCCTGAGTTGTCTGCATCACTTTTAGAATTGACCTTGATTGGGGTAGTCAAGGTCATTTTTCTGTTCATTTCGCTGGGAACCCCACTAATGATCCCTTTTGTACCATTACAGGTCATACTGTGGTTGACATTGCTGGTCACATTCTTGCTGTTGTCGTGAATATTGTTGCCCCCCTTTTTGTTTCGACTAATCAGTGCAGTCGCATCATTGGCTGCAAGTGTTTGTGCCGCTTGATTTTCTTTTTTGTTCTTGATCTGAAACAAAAGATCAACTAATTACTGATTTGCCTGTCTTTAGGGTCGATTTTTGTTCTCAATATTTCTTTATGATCGCATTGCCGAAATACTCAATTCATATAAATTCTTTAATTAATTTGAAATTGTTCAGGTATTTTGCTGTCTTTTTTTTTTACAAGAAATGATTAAATAAATCAAATACTTTGAGATTGAAGTAGTAAAAATAAGGTTTTAAACATTTTTAAGGCTTGGTTGTTTTCATTTTAGAAAATCTTATGAGGGTTTTTTGAGCTTTAAACCAAGTCACAAACATCGTTTTGGTTTTTTAGCTAAGCGTATTTTTGCAGATTACGTTTTTAGAATGGGAGCGCTCTAGTTTGAAAGCCTCAAAAAAGATAAAAGGCTAGTTAAAATTTAATCCAAATCAGACCTTGCAAATAGTTTCCTTTTTCTCCTCAAGGTACTTATGTCCATTTGTAACGACTCTTCTGCGGTTTTTTGAAAAGCGTTGCATGTAATGCTCCGGTTTATCAAATCACTCTTAACTAAATAAAGTAGGATAGTAGTCATTTTTTTAAATTGTTTTTGGTATTTTTGGATTGTATTTTGTATTGAAATTCAATTTAAGATAATCCTCTTATGTTTATTTAACAAACATTAACAAGAAAGAATTTGAGTATTTTTCGTCAATTCGAAAGAGAAAAAAAAATCAGTCGCAAAAACGGAGGAAATCTTTTAAGTTGTTTGATAATCAAAATAAGG